ATAAAAATTAGCAATAAATGAATAGAATTGATTTACAAGTATGCAAGCGTTTCCAATGTAAGTAATGTAAAAAAATCTTTAATTTGTAATTCTATAAAAATTATGTAATGAGAAAAAACTAAAACTTTTCATTGTTACGTAATCATACATTATTAATTTACATAGTATGGTTAATAATATTTATATAGAAAATAATAGAAAATGATTTAGATAAAAGAAAGTTCTGGCTTATGTTTTTTCTGAAAGCTTTTTTTAACATTTAGGTTAGCTAATATATTTTGCAAAATTTCATAAAACTTCGAAAATTATGCATGTCTCAGAAATCTATATGCAATAATATGTAACTGATCGTTTAAAACTATTAAAAATAATCGTGAGTAAAATTCAGTCGATCTTGCATAGAATTTCAATCTTTTATACATATACGTTGTATAATATTAACAAGTTGTTTGATTTATTGCAAATTTAAATTAAAAGTTGAATTTGTTATTGGAATATGTTTAGATTTTTTCATCATCTAAAAACTATGTATTTTAGTTACGCCTTATATTCAACTTCAACATTTAGATTTTAAAATTTCAATTATAATATGCTCTAATACAAAAATGTGCATACGATTACTAATTATGAAAATCCCAAATATTAAGTGGTTTTTACATAATATAAACATACACATATTAAGAAAATCATTTATTGCGAATTCGAATCATAACAAAGGTTTCAAGAAAAGCACATTTGACATGAATAATTGTAATTACTTATTTAGATTTTAAATTGTCGGAAATGTTAAAGTTGTCAGTTTTCCAAAACAAAATTTAAAAAAAAGTGCTTATTAGTTTTAATCTTTCCGTCCGTCCGTCCGTGAACTTGTTTACAAAACTTCTACACCCTTGAAGATAGAAAGCTGAAATTTTATGTGTAAATAAAGCTTTACTAGAAACTTATTTTCGAAGAAAATTCTTACCTATCTCCCACCTTTAAATGTTATACCCCCCGAAACTCTAAAAATGCCATTTTTCATTTATTTATTGCAGTTATGCATTTTTTAAATTCTATCTGCAAACGCAGAAATATATAGTTTCTGCCTTCTTCTACCACAGCATGCCATACTTGAACTTTAAAAAAAGAAAATGGCCATTAAAGTTTACCGCTATCTAAAATCCGTTTTTTCCAAATTTTTGATGTCGTTTTTTCTAGGCCACATGTTGTAAAACTCTGAAATTTTGACATTTTTTAGACACTAATAAATAATTTATTTCGTTAGAAGAAAGTTTTTTCCCACCTCCACTCCCTCTAAAATTATTTAAAAATTTGAATTTTTGGTATCTTATATTTCCAAAACTACAAGCTTTTTCAAATTTCTATAAACGCAGAAAGCTAACTCACGCAATTAACCATTAAAATTGTGCATTATGTTAAGCCCTCTTTAAATTTATTTTTGCTTTATTTCAAAGACTGCATTAATAGTTCATCCTAAATGTTTGCAATCTTTGAAATACTTTCATGTATGAATCAAAAATATAATTTTAATAGTGTGGTAGGTATTTGTTGAAGTGAAAAGTGCTATATTACAAACCATTGGTTTGACCCAACTTTATCAAATTATAACTTTAAAACTGAAAATATTTCAATTTTAGGCCTGCAAAAACTTTTTTTTCTTAATTAAAACAGTTTTATTTACAGAATAAGACTGTTAACAAAATTTTTACAAAATTACAAAAATAATTTTAGAAAACTGATTCAAAAAAAGTTACATTCTAACTTAGTATGTAACAACAATTTCTAATTTAGTACATATACTTTTTAAAATATTAAATTTCTTTTAATATAAAAATAGAAATGAACCGTTAAATTCAAAACGATAAGCTTCGGTATTGTCCTTTTCCCAATACAAATTTATAACCGAGATAAACAATTTTGAAATGAGAGCTTCAATCTTTGTTATCTATATTTAAAAGTTTAAATTTCCGCTATCTATTTATTTTTTAAATATTTTTTAGTATTTGAGTTTGAACGCAATATAAACATGTACAATGAATGTACTCTGAACTAAATTCTGTTTGTATATATATTTATACATAATTATACAAATAAATATGTACAATTTATATGTGCATATGTATGTACCCTTAATGTTGGTTTTTCTTTTTAAATCTCATTATAAATAAAAAAAAAAGTTCATATAACTTCTGCTTTCTTCAATTCATTATTTATTTATTTTAATTATCACCATACATAGAATTAAAGAAAAAATTGTTTTTGGGTCAAAAACTTAATAAATATTAAAAAAATTTTTATTATTATAGTACAAACATATACATATATATACACCATTAGTAATTATGAAAATTAAAAATTTATAATCATTTAAAAATATTAAAAAATACAAAATTTAATTTTGTTATTGGGCTAAAAATTCAAATTTATTTATTAAATTTTTGTAATTATAAGCAGAATATGTTCGTTAATTAGTTTTATGCTTCTTTTTATATACTTTATTATTAGTATTGAAATAAAATGGTCATTAATTTAGGATTTTAAATTTTTTATATTAAATTAATATAACGTAAATTTTTTTAAAGAAAAAATAATTATTTTACTTCTCAGATAGTTTTTTCTTTATTAAGAATTAATCCTTAGAGAAATTTTATTTTTAATTTCAAATCAGTAGAAATAAAATATTTATTTCAAATTGCATACGTTTTAATTATACGAGAGATTTTAATTATAATAATAAATTAGAATAAAGGAAACGAGAAAAAATATTGTTGACCATTTCAATATTATGAAAGCCGTACGAATTCGTCTAAAATTGTGTGGAAAATAAAATTGGCAAATGATCTTTGAAATTGTATAGTACCTAGTTATTCAAACAATTGAATCAATCGCACTCAAATAAAATGGAGTCCTAGTGTAAATACATAGCATTACAAATAAATAACTGTTAAAATTATAAAATCTTCATACATGGTTCAAATGATTTTAGAAATGTGCAAAGAAATTACTGCTTATATCAAATAATAAATTTGATTAAAAATATTTGTTTCCTCTGCTAAATGTAATTCTACTAATAACATGGTATTTTCGATGTTTCAGACATGCACTGAAAGTGAAGATATTTCAGACTTGAACTGAAATTAAATTTTGAAAATCTTTTAACACATTACTTACGTTACAAATTTGTAATATACTGGAGCAATTTTTCAATATCGAACATTTTTCTATTACCAAATTTCTGCTCTTCTTCTAATTTACATATAAAATTTTTGCAGTAGTCATAAAAAGTCTTAAAAAACTCTTTAAGAATTTTAAGCATAAATTGTCGTTTTCGAATATGCTACTTTTGCTGATTTTTCAGTTTAGATTTCTCGAACGTTCTTTATATTAAAACTTAAGTTGGAATTGAATTATCAAAAATCCCCACATTTATAGCGTGCTAAAACGTTTTTAAAAATTCTAGTATTTGAATTAAGTATTTCTTAAAAAAATTTTGATAATACAAAATATAGCAAGGTATTTCAAAAGGAAAATAGTATTTAAAATTTTTATGATTCCTTCCTGCCTGTTAATTGATTTGTAAAATTATTTTTGCTGATTTAATTTACACAAGGAAATAAGAGAAAAGTTATACTCGTAAATGCATTTTTTATTTTCTGAGAATAAAAATTTTATTTGTCTTACATCCAATTCGACTATAGAAAATTGAAAATTTTTTTTTTTAATTCAACGTACACAAACTTTTATTTTTCTAATATACTACGATAGCTTAACAACAGAAAAAATTTTTTTTTAGTTTACTACACGATATACAATTTGATCGTATTTTTATATGTATGTATATATATATGTAAAATAACATCCTGATCAAATATTCTAGAAGACCGTGCTTGATTTATACTTTTTATTAATATTTTTTTTTTATTATTTGCTTCGTTCTTCATTTCTTGTTACCTTTCATAAAAGTTTTTCATTACCAGTTTTCATAAACTTTTTTTTTGTCACGTTTACCTTTATTTTTGACATAAAAAATTTAAGTTTATGTTGACGGTATTGAAGTATTAAACTGTTTAAAACTGTTAATTTAATTTAAGAAAATTTTTATTTTAATTAGCCATTACGAGTATAATTTTTTTTTTCCAATATTTAAAAAAAAAGCCGAATTTTATTACCTTTTCGGACGTTCTAACTAGAATATTTTTGTATTCGTTTCAAAAGTTATATTATCGTGTTATAGTAATTTATTCAATTTGAAAATAATTAAAGAATTTTTTAAGAATTCTAGTTTTAGAACAAGTTTTTTTTTGTTTTTGTTTTTCTTCTTCTTGTGAAAGAGAATTATCTTAGAATTATTTTTAAATATTTTCAAATACTTACGATAATCATTAATTAGTTAATTTGTACAATAATAAAGTTATCTATATATTTTTTAAATAATATATGTGTGTGTACATACCAACATATACAAAGTAATACATTGATGTAGTTATTGTTAAAAAGTTAATGAGAGTAAAACATGCTTGAGGACTGAGGGCGTTATTATTTAATATTTACTATTATTATTTTTTCATTTTTAATATATTATTAATAATCTTTCCGTTTCATGAACTATAACTTATCAATCAATCTAAAAAGTAACTGGTTATAATGCAGAGATTTACAGAAATCACTAAACCATTAAAACCATATATAGGTTAAATTCATAATATTGTTTCAGAAACCTTGACATTAAAGAATTTCAAATTTAAATTGAAAAGAAAGAAATGTCATTTAGCAGAGATCATTTTTGGAAAAATTATTTTTTGAAAAATTTTTTTTTTTTAAATTCACACTGAATGAATCCAAAAACAGTTTTCTCTATATCTGTAAATATATATGTAAGTGTGATTAATAATTTTTTATATACATAAATTAAATGTACAAATATAATCAATATTAAATTTTGAAATTAAAAATATTTTTACTAAAATTATGTTTTTTCTTATCTTCTTTTTTAATTTTAGAATCCAAATATATCACCACAATCATTGGCAAAAGCTGGATTTTATTATTTTAATAAATCTGATCAGGTAAAATGTGCTTGGTGTAAAGGTGTTATTGCACAATGGGAGAAAGGTGATAATGCATTTCAAGAGCATGATCGTTTCTTTCCGGATTGTCCACGTGTTCAATTAGGACCATTAATCGAAGTAACATGTGAAAGATCTACTTTAGATGATGAATTGGGTATTCAACAAATTTCTGCACCAAAATCAACAAAATATTCATGTCTTGATGCCCGTATGCGAACATATGCTAGATGGCCAATACCAGAAATTCAAAATCCTGAAATTTTGGCTCAAGCTGGTTTTTATTATCAAGAAATTGAAGATCAAGTTAGATGTTTTCATTGTAATGGCGGTTTAAGATCATGGCAAGAAGAAGATGATCCATGGTTTGAACATGCAAAATGGTTTCCATATTGTAATTTTTTGAAATTAGTTAAAGGACCAAATTTTGTTTCACAAATTTCCGGTACTAATAAACAGCAACAGCAACAATCTCAAATAGATGGTAGAAATGGTCATGGTAATACTAGTAATTGCATTACAGCTGAAAATAATCAAGGACAACAACAATTTAGACAGACAACTGTTACATCTGAACCAACAATGACCTTGGATGAAGCAATGCAATTGGAACCGGTACAAAGAGCATTAGAAATGGGTTTAAATGAAGGTCGTATTATGAGTGCAACACGTCGTCAATTAGAAGCACATGGTAAACCATTTGATACAACAGAAGAATTAGTTGAAGCTGTTTTAGAAGGACAAGTTGATGAAGAAGATGATGCTAATGGTCCAGAACCAAGTTCATCTATTGTACGTGAAGTATCTCGAATATTAAATAATATTTTCAATCCAAGGAATCAATCAACAGCAACAGCAGACACAAGTGATTATGATTTTGATGATATTGGAGAATTTCACGGTATCGGCGAAGGTAGTTCATCAATAATTCCTCAAAATGAAAACTTAAATCGATTAAATAATCGACCAAGAATTGAACTATCTAGTGCCGCTAATATGGATCAAAGTAGTGAAGTTACTTCCACTGTATCATGTGATCATAATAATTCAACAAATAATGAAATAAGTTCAAATCACAACTGTTCAAACACTTCCAACATAAATCGTGATAATATTGATAGTACATTAAATGAAGATCAACAGCAAGAAGACCAACAAGAGGCAAATATTGAGGAAAATTCTTCTTTGAATAATAGTGAAAGTAATCAAACTAAAACAAAACCAAAATTAAATGAACAATTATCATTGGAAGAGGAAAATCGGAAATTAAAAGATGCCAGAACATGTAAAGTATGTATGGATGATGAAGTTGGAGTTGTTTTCTTGCCATGTGGTCATCTTGGTAAATTATATTATTAAAACATTATCTTTTTTCTTAATTTACTCAATTTATTTTCTTTTTAGTTACTTGCGTCCAGTGTGCTCCAGGAGTTACAGTTTGTCCTCTCTGTCGTTCAGGTATTAAAGGTTATGTGAGGACTTTCCTTTCATGAACAATAAAAAAACTAACAATAAGATATTTTCTACTTTGATAGAGTTCATTTTAATAAAAAAAAAGCAAAATATGATACAATAGATTTTGTTCACAATTTTATAAAAAAATTTTTAAATTATTATTACACATAAAAAGAACAAAAAAATTAAAAATAAAAATGTAGAATTTAAAAACATAAGTTGTTTAAAATATATGATTTTTGAACTTTTTTCAATAAAGTAGTTAAAATATTAAAGAATATTAATAAGTAAAAAAATAGTAACAATTTAAAATAGAAAAACTGGAAATTAAATTATAACTTTGAATCTTTCCTCTTTACTGTTTCAATAGTTAAAATTTGAAAACCTACACAAATTGCAAATCAAATCTATTTAGGTAAACTATTGAATATGTAAATGTAAAACTATTATACACAATCTAATTACTTGTTGCTATTTCAATATTAAAAAAAACATTATAAAAAACAATTGTAATTAATTAAGTTAAAAATTTATTAAGTTGTATCAAATTTTAAAATTAAGTTCTTAAAAAAATCGCTTTATGTACATTTTGTGATATCATAGCGTTTTTGTATTTTTATTCAATTCTTCACGTGAAAATAATTGAACTCATTTTTTTCTAATTGTAATCCTACATCTAATGTAAAATTAAAAAAAAAATTATTTTAATTGTACTTAATAAAAAACAATAATGTAATCAGGTTAAATATTTTGCTATATTTTAATCACTTTTACCACAAACATAGATGTATGCCACGGAAAGTGTGTCGACTTCTTGTTTCATTCTACTAAATATTTATTATACTGATCCTGTCATAACTATTTTAAACAATATTTCAATTTCATTTTTAATTTTGTACATAATTTATATTTGTTGAAATAAAATTGTAGAGTAGTGATGAATTTTTTAAAAATCTCGAAATTTACTCGAAATAAATATTTATTATTCTATAATAATAAGTATGTATATTTAAGATTAAATTTTTTATTGTATTAAAATAATTTGAATCTAATAAAAAATTAGAAAAATTATTACTTTTATAATTAGATATTAAATTTAACGCAAAAATACTAAGATTATATGAAATGAAAATATTTGATCTTTATGTTAGTTAATTAGCGTGAATTTATATATTTCGTTAACTATTGGAAATAAATTAATTTATATTAGAGGATTTTTAATCACATTAGTATAAAATTTAATTAAAATATAAATATGTATATGTTGCTAAAATTAAAATCAAAAATATATTATTAGGATACTTCATTTGAGTGTAATTTGAGCGTTATAATTTGAAACCAATAAAGAATAGGAAAGAATTTCGAAACTGAACATTATCGATCAGAATTTCGCAATTAAAACAACGTACGCCAAAATATTATCTATTCCAATACAAAACTTTAATGTTAAAATACATGCCCCCATTTTCTGGTAGCCGTATAGCACGCAATTATCATATGAAGTGAAATCGAAAAAAATATAAGTTTTGTTTTAATATTTCGATATATAATATTAAAATCTTGCTATTGGTTTAAAACTTTCTTTGTTTTAGTTTATTTGTAAATAATCAAAATAGTTTTCACATTAATCTTCATGAATCTTCAATTTTTTTGTAACATAACGGCAGCTTTTAATGCTACGAATCTAAGAACATTTTTTATCGCCTCTACAGACATGATTACCAGAAAGCTAACGGGATGTGATCGTTTTTTTATACCATATTATGGGGTGATGATATTTAATTTTTGTTGGAAGTGGTAGTAACTTGCATAGGAAAATATTACGCATATATTACAATTTAATTTTCCAAATAAAATTTAATTGTATGCAATTTAAATCGAAGAGCTTTGAAATTTTACTTTTTCATTAACGTTTTTTATAATATGTATAACATTTATTTAATTAATTCCTCTAGTTTTCTAAAAAAAAATTATTTTGTATGGATATTTGTCCTTTCCGTTTAAGCAAAATTGATCAGATACTAATCTTAAGTTTCCAAATGCAATTATAAATCTTTAGTTTTAAATTTAACTAACCTTTATTAAAAATTTAAAGAAAAAAATCAACACATGATCAAAATGTGAAATATTTGAAACCTAGTTCCTAAATCTATAAGTTTTAAAAAAATCATATTGGCATTTTCATCACTAAATGGAAAATATAATTTAAAGTGCATGCTACACCTTTAACTTTCTATTGAAGAAAAGAAGTGTTACAAAAACAACAATGTTTCAGCATAATCTAAAATATAATGTGTTTGTGTTTATAAAAGAAAAATAATTATTTTTAATATTAATTTTGACCACATTTATAATTGTTTAGAATTGAATTTTTTATTAATTAAACTTTTCTAATAATTTTTCCTGTAAAATGCACTTGATTAAGAATTATATTAATAGTAATAAAGAATTAAATTATAAAAAAAAATAAAAAAAAATCAAATTCGTTAAATTAATAAAAGAAAAAAATTCGAGAATAATTATACAAATTCATATATAAATACATATATACAAACTGAAGTTGTAAAGTTAATGTTATAATAAATATTTTAAAGATTTTATGGAATAAATAATTGAAATAAATAAACAAAGAAAGAAAAACTGATTTATCCAAAGAAAAAATAATTATTTTATTTCTTTTTAACAGTCGTCTAATATAAAATCAATGATCTTAAGAACCAAAATTTAAAACTAAAATAAACGCTTCTACGTCCAGATTCGCATGAGAATTCTTGAAAATTTTAAGAATATTCAAAAAGGAAAGTACAACTATTTTAATAAATTAAGAGATCTTTCGTTGAATAACAAGAATTGTAAGTCATAATTGAAAACGAAAAATTAATTTCATGTTCAAGAAAAGATTCATATATTGTGAACGGACCATCGGACGAAAAAACACATTATTATTGTAAGTTACAAAATATTTTAAATTAGTATTGCATGGTACCAAATTTTTTATACAGATAATGTTATTTCCATTCTCAGATTATTTAACAGAAATTCTTTGAAGACTTAAAAAACCTTCCCAATATATCAATAATAATATATTATGATTAAGCACCTTACTTTATACACCAATATTTCATTATCTATTCCAAGATAAAACTTAATTGAATACAAAAGTAAATTATCTGGCACAAAAGCTTCCTTTGATTATAAATTTTCACAATGCAGTTGCGACAAATAATTAAGGACCCTGATAAAAAAAATTATAGGGAAAAACCAATTTTGTCTTGTGACCCTTGTTCACATACAGTATGTATTTAAACTAAAACTTCAGATATTTTCGAAAAAAAATTTTAAATTGCATTTTACATCTTCTTCCTTGTATTGCCGTTGGTGCCACTCAGGATACTAACCTGTTGCGGAACATATAGAGCTACATACATTAGATGCTTGGAGATACACAAAAACAAGATTTTTTTGTATAATCTTCTTACTTAAATAAGCCAAAAAACTCTTTTTAGATGTTTTGATCATATAGAAAATGATGGACCAGCCTATTTATTTGGCGATATAGATACATTTACCAAAACAATTGAGTTACTAAATTTTAGCCTACAATTAGAATCAGCAAGGGCTAATTAAAGTGAAATGGTCTGACAATGTTAATTAAAGTGTTGACTCTTTTTTTAAATTTGTAACTATGAATATGGTAAGATTTAAAATTAAAATATCAAAAGTAAAACAGCTCCTTCGAAATTATTAATAATTTGTTATTAATAATTTAATAATTTAATAATAATGGATACTCAGACATACATATCTATGTAATTTATAAAAAGTAAATTAAACAAACATAAAAGTAATAAATTTTGATTTTAATTATTCAAAAGTAAGTTTTGAATAATTAAAATCAACCATTTTGTAGATGCCAGTACAAAATATAAATATTTCCCCCTTCTATTTCCCAGAAGAAATCAATCTTGGAAATTTAAAACAAAAGGGTTATACATACTTATAGAAAAGATAATACTTAGTTTAAATGGCCATTATCGCATAGTGAACTTTCTACGCTTACAAAATTTTAAAAGTACAATTTTTAATATTTTGAAAAGCCATTGCTTTTAAAGAGGCATTTCGTGACATCATGGAACAAAAAAAACCATTAGATCCATTATACCACTAAATTAAAAAAAAATCGAATTTTTTTGAAAATTTAAGGATTAATACAACAGTAAGTAGCAGAATTTGAGCCCAACTGCTTAAGTTCTCATCACTATTAAAATTATTATTTACACCTAATATCTAAAACTAAGATCTTAAACCAAAAAAAAAAAAAAAACAATTTTCTTAATAAATATTTATAAATTTTTGTTAAAGAATCAATTATTTTTTCTTCATATTTCAATATTTTAATTTTTTACTATTATTTGTCTATTATTTATTAAATTTTTATTAATATTATTACTACCTTTTTGTCTAAATCTATTATTCTTCACTATAATATTGTCCGTTCTGTGTATTCTACAATAAATTAATAAAAGGTTTACCATCACTGTAATAAGTAAAATAAATTTCCACTCAAATGTGGTATATAAAAATAAAACTCAAATAAATTATTTTAGTATGTACCTGGAGTGAAAATGTTAATGTTACATGTAATGTTATAAGTGTGGTGAAATATGATTTTCATGTTAAAATCGAAATAACAAAACAAATAAGTTGAGAGAAAATTTAAAATATAAAATTGAATTTAAAATAATTAAAAAAAAAAACACTCAAAAACATAATGATAAATGTTATGTTAAATGAGAATTAAAATAAAATTAATAACATACAGTTATTTCACTTAAATAAAATCTAGTATAATATCTGAATATCACATAAGTACATTTTAATTTTATGTAACAATATAAAGATATAAAAAAGAAACTCAAAAAGGAATAAGAAAAAAATAATACTGTTAATGTTACCAAAAGCGCAATCACCATAAAAAATGTTAAAAAATTCTCGTTTTTTTTTCCATTGAACTCTAATAATGTTAAATAGAGTTGTGGTAGAATTCTTTTTGTACTTTTTTTTTATTTTAAAATGTTTGAAACCAGTTTGAGTTTGGCTTTTAACGCGTTTGGATCGTTATAAAAAAATAAAATTGACGCGTTTTAAGTGATTTTTTTTATCTAATTTTTTTTTTTACAAAAAAATTAAATACTAAATTTTTTTCGATTTAAAATTAAATTTTTCGTAATATAAATTAAGAAAAAAAAAATAATAATATTAAAATTTTACTTAGAAATTAAATAAAATTTTGAAAATTTAAAATAATTAGAAAAAATTGTTATGTTAATTTTGAAACCTTTAAAGGTGTTTTGTTCATAACAAGTT